GGGTGTCATGCAACAGCATGGGTGAGCATCACCAACTAAACATCGATCATTGGATGCCAGGGTTCAGGCATGAGTAGGAAGTGATAAAATATAAAATAAGGACAGCAAGTGAGCGGCTTCTGGCGTTTTGGCAATATAGTATTTTCTTGATGAGGTGAAGGTGATATGGATATTTGATTTTTAATAATTCAGTAACTCTACACTTATACTCTATACTTTTTACCATAACTGTGTTATATTTTACAAATTAAAAAAAAATACCACCTAGAGTAAAGAAACTTAAAGTAGACTGTTAGAAGTACAGTAAGTTTTTTACATGTAGTAAATAGATCGAATTTATTAGGCTTTGGGGGCAAAATAAGATGAAATGTAAATTTATTTAATATGATTTTTGAATGCGTGTGGAGGCAGGATAAAGAGAAGAGGGAAAGGGTAGGGGTCACAAATGCTAAAGTAGAAATATCACTGGATTCGGAATTAGGAAACCAGAGTCACATCTCGTTCCTTCCTCTAAGGTGTGACCTTGGGCAAAGCACTTGATCTGTCTGAACCTCAGTGTTCTCATCTATAAGATGGGGCTAATAGCTCTGCCCCTTTTCTGCCTTGTAGGAGTGTCTGAAAGATAAGAAGACTGAATGAGAATACGTGTGTGAAATACTTTGTAAACTTTGTAAACTTTGCTAAGTTTGAGAGTAGAAGCAGTATGTGTGCCCCTGATATTGTGGGGAAATTGGTCTCAAGCTGGTGACGTGTGACAGCTTATTCCTGTCTCTGTACAATAGGCATCCTGGAAGATCATGTGTCCTTGTCATCTCCATCCAGGGAGAGAATAATGTACAGTAGATGAACATTGACCTCAGGGGGACATTTTTGGTAATTGAAATATATTCAAGGCTCAGAAGAAAGGTGCCTTTGTTAAGCAGGTCACTTTGGTAGCGTTTTCATTGTGTGTTTATGAATTTGCTTGCACAGGCTCCACCCTCATCGTGGACTGCAATATAACAGACACATGGGGTAACACAAACCTGCGCTGCTGGAGGGTCAATAATACATTGGTCGACATTTACTACAAGGAATCTAAACGAATTCAAGAAGGAATTGAGTAGGTGTTTTGCTTTTCTGGCTTCCCTAAAACCTAGCAAGAATTTCTCCATCTAAATGATTTTGGTGCTGGTACTGCTTTATTTGAGGTGGCTTTCACTGTCTCTCCCCTCACTCCTTTTGGTTGTAGCTTTCAAAGCCCTTTTCAGTACTGTGGGGTCAAGCCTCTGGTTCAGAGAAGATGCTCATGTTATTAATCCTGCTTGGATCATAGAGAGAGGAGGCAAAACAACAAAGTAAGGCTTCAAGCAGCAAGATCGGTTTCTCTCCGCTACTCCTTTCAATGAGTCTCATCCCTATTTAGGAAGGCCCTGGGCCTTCAAGGCTTAAATAGCAAAATGGCCACAACACAGGGATTCTTGGGAGAGATGATGCATGATCGTTAGCTAACGGAGTGGCGTAAACCCAATTTATGGTGGTTTAAGTGGAGTGGTATGAAACGAGACTGATGAAGCCAAAAGGCAGAAGAATTTGTGTTGGGCTTTGCAGTGGAGGTAGGTTAGGATGAGTGGAGAGGGATAGGGGAAGGCCCCTTTGGGCTGAGGATGGTGTCTCTAATTAAAAGGACTACACTTCTGCATCGCCGTCCAGAAGAAAATGCAAATTTGGTGCTACACAATCCATCACCTCATTGAGCCAGCAGGGTATATTTAGGGTGCAATGATGGCCCCAAGCGTTCTCCAGGAAAGAACTTTATTCTCCAGACAAAAGGTTATAAAATATGTTGGTTAAATACAACTCATGTACATATTAATGACTGGTTCTTCTTTCATAGAAACTACACTGTTTCTCAAGGACACATGTTTTACACGATGAACATAACCTTCTTAGAAGTGAAAATGGAAGATTATGGCCACCCTTTCACATGCCATGCTGGAGTGTCTGCAGCTTACGTTATACTAAAACTCCCAGGTAATACCCTAGTGGGATGCATTCTGCTCAGAGTGTTACAGGTGATGGCGAGGAAACACAAATGAAAGAGGAGTGACTTTAAATGTTTGGTGTGAGGCAGCAGAGTGGTATTAAATAGGGAAACTCAATATGAAATCTAGATAAAAGCTGATACCCTGTCTGATCATGTTCTTGGAGTCAGGCTGTGGCTTCACTACAGTGTCATTAGAAAGCTCCCTATTAATACGCATTGAGACTTTAGGCATCAGACCTCTAGAAAACAGAAGTATTCCTTTATTAAACCTGCTTGCTCAACTTTTATAATCATGTACTTGTGATTTTCAGCTTTTAGGTTGTTTATTATAAACCATGTGATGTAAAAACAAAGTGCTAATGTATATTTTTATCATGTAACTTTGTAAAATTATCTGTAGAGGCTGAATTCTGATATTGGAGCAGGAAGGCTTCCAATTCCATGTGCGTACACAGATTGTGCACTTAACACTGTACAGAGTGTGTTGATTATCCATTGGAGGTGATGGAACCAGAGAGTAAATAGTGAAGGATGAAATCATAATCTCGAGAAAAACTTTCAATTCTTAAATGTATCGGGAAAGGTCATAGAAAGTCATTTGGGATCACTTTCCCCCAATCAGTCATGTGCATCCCATCTCCCTCTATGGCACATCTGGGTGATTCTTGAGATTCTATCCTCAGAGCCACTCTTTCTATACACTCCTCTCTGATACTATCCCTTTTCCTCATGGTTTCAACTGTCATCCCTGTGTGTGTGAAAACGAATTCCACATCTCCAATGACATTTTCCCTTCCCATGTGGCACCTCTGCATTTCCAACTGCTTACTGGACAGATTTTGAACTTTCTATAAAGAGAGTTACATAGTAGGTTTTCTTTGACGTGTTGCTTCTCTTCTTAGGTTTATGGGGTTCACTGAGGCAACGGTGATGTAGCGTGTAGCAGAAGTTCATTCATTTTCAGTGCTGAATCCTGTTCCATTGAATAACTAGGTTACAGTGTATCCATTCTACTGTAACTGTGTGGTCATTTGAGTTGTTTCCAGTTTGGGACTGTTAACAAATCATGATGCTATGGAAATTCTTCTGTGTTGGTCCTGGTGCTTATGTAGAAGCATTCCTTTGTGATACATCATTAGGAGTAAAATCGCTGGAGAGAGTGCCTCAGGGTTCACACCAGAGAAAAGAGGGGAACCTGATTGTGGGAAGCCTTGAAAATTGCACAAGACCTGAAGTGGTTATAACTGAAATCTGCCCCAACCTAGACTGAGGAAGACCAGTGTCAATTTCTATGTCAATACTGCCTTATAGGTAATAACCACGTGGAAGCACTGTGTTCAGAAGGATTCTGAGGCAAAGTCCAGGCTCAGAGCAACTAATGATGTTATCAGTTAACACCTGCTGATCGTACAGGAGAGGGGACATGTCCTTAGTCTCCTTTGTTTTAGGTTAGTTAGGAAACCTACGCTTACTAAATTCAGCTTTGTTCCTATCAACACTTATTTCATATCTCACATGCCATGTATATTTGGACATGTGCACTTTGTTTTGTTTTCCCTAAATTCTTAGGAACAAACCCTCTTAAATCCAAGCCTCTTGGGCTTCCGTGGTGGC